AACTGCCATGAACATAGGTGAGCAAGTGTCCTTGTGATATGATTGAGCATCCTTTGGGTATGTACCTAATAGTAGTATAGCTGGGTCTTGTGGTAGATTGATTCCCAATTTTCTGAGAAACCGCCATATTGATTTCCAAAGCGGCTGTACAAGTTTGCATTCCCATGAACAGTGGAGAAGTATTCCTCTTGCTCACATCCTCTCCAACATATGATGTCATTTGTGTTTTTGATCTTAGCCATTCTGACAGGTGTAAGATAGAATCTAGAGTCATTTTGATTTGCATTTCCCTGATGACTAAAGATATTGAACATTTCTTTTAAGTGTTTCTCTGCCATTTGAGATTCTTCTGTTGAGAATTCTCTGTTTAGATATGTACCCACTTAATTGGATTATTTGGATTTTGATGTCTAGTTTCTTGAGTTCTTTATATATTTTGGAGATCAGTCTTCCATCAGATGTGGGGTGGTGAAGCTCTTTTCCCATTCTATAGGCTGCCATTTTGTCCTATTGACAGTGTCCTTTGCCTTACAGCAGCTTCTCAGTTTCACGAGGTCCCCTTTGTTAGTTGTCAGTCTTGTGCTTGTGCTACTGGTCAGGAAGTGGTCTCCTGCCACTGCATTCAAGACTATTCCCCACTTTCTCTTCTATCAGATTCAGAGTAACTGGATTTATGTTAAGGTCTTTGATCCACTTGGATTTGAGTGTTGTGCAGGGTGATAGATATGGATCTATTTGCATTCTTCTACATGCTGACATCCAGTTATGCCAGCACTATTTGTTGAAAAAGCTTTCTTTTTTCCATTGTATAATTTTGGCTTTTTTTTTGTCAAAAATCAGGTGTCCATAGTGTGCAGATTTATATCTGGGTCTTTGATTCATTTCCACTGATCCACCTGTCTATTTTTATGCCAATACCATGCTGTTTTATTACTGCAGCTCTGTAGTAGAGCTTGGGATTAGGGATGGTGATGCCTCTAGAGGCTCTTTTATTGTACAGGATTGTTCAGCTGTCCTGGGTATTTTAGTGAGTATGAAGCTGAGTATTGTTCTCAATACATATGAAGTTGAGTATTGTTCTTTCAAGGTCTGTAAAGAATTGTATTGGAATGTTGATGGTGACTGCATTGAATCTGTAGATTGCTTTTGGTAAGATGGCCATTTTTACTATGTTAATCCTACCGATCCATGAGCATGGGAGATCTTTCAATCTTCTGACACCTTCTCCAATTTTTCTTTCTTCAAAACTTGAAGTTCTTGTCATACAGGTCTTTCACTTGCTTAGTTAGAGTTACCCAAAAATATTTTATATTATTTGTGGCTATTATGAATGGTGATGTTTCCTTGATTTCTTTCTCAGCCCTTTTATCATTTGTATATAAGAGGGCTACTGGGTTTTGGTTTGGTTTGGTTTGGTTTTTTTAGTTATTCTTGTATCCAGCCACTTTGCTAAAGGTGTTTATTAGCTGTAGGAGGTCCTTAGTAGAATTTGGGGGTCACTAATGTATACTATCATGTCATCTGCAAGTAGCAATACTTTGACTTCTTCTTTTCCGATTTGTATCTCCTTGATCTCCTTTTGTTGTCTTATTGCTCAAGCTAGACCTTCGAGTACTATATTGACTAGATATGGAGAGAGAAGACAGCCTTGATGATAATGATGATGATGATGATGATTACTATTTTATCATTATTATTATTATTATTATTATTAATCAGCATCAGCACTAGTGTGTGTGTGATATGGAGGAGTCACTTACATAGAGGTCAGAGGACAACTTTGTGGAGTCACCTCTTTCCCTCCACCCTTGCATGGATTCCAGGGACTGAAATCAGGTTGTTAAGTGTGTACCTCAAATGCCTTTGTCCCCTGTGTCATCCCACTAGCCCTGTAAGTCTCATTTTTTAATGTTTGTATATATGTGAGTTTTGTGCACATGCATGTGGGGGGGTGAGTTTGTGTGTGGGGTAAAGTGCATATGTGCTCATGAATATGTAAAGCCAGAGGACAACCTTGGAGGTCATTCTCAGGAATGCTATCTGCTCCTCTTTTTTTGAGCCAGAGTCTCTCACTGGCCTGGAGCTCACTCATTAGACTATACTGGTTGGCCAGTGAGTCCCAGGGATCCTCTTGCTCTGCCTCCCCAGTGTTGAGACTATGAGCACCTATTCCCATGCTTGGAATTTTTACACGGTTCTTATGATCAAACTTGGGTGCTCTTGCTTAGAAGTCAAGACATTTCCCAACTGAGCTATCCCCCAACTCCCTTTCTAGTCACATTTTAAATTATAATTCCTTGAATAGGAGCATAGCATGCAGAGAAAGGGAAGGGCCCTTGTAGGATTATAAGTAAAGCATACGATGGAATATGACAGACTGAGCACCCCTCATATGAAACTCTGAAATCCTGCAAAAGTAGGTTCTTAAGAATCAATGTAATGTCTCAAAATTCTACACCTAACCTCATGTAACAGACCAGATTCCAAATGGGAGACACAAAAACTATTGCATGAGTATGTTTGCAAGTTTCATGCAAGTGGAATCTCACCCCTAAATATCTCATTATTTATATGCAAATATTTTGAAAAATTAAATTCAGAAATACTCCTGGGTCCCAAGCATTTTAGATCAAGTATGCACTATTTGCATATGCCATTTTCTATATTCTCACTTCCTTGTCCCATTTTCCAGCACAAAGTTTTGGGTTGTCTTTCATGGATCTACACCACTTGCAAGCTGCTCAGAGACTTGCAAGGGAGACTGGGCTAGTGTCTTAATTACTTTTCAAGGGCTATAATAAGACAATATGACCAAGGCAACTTATAGAAGAAAGGTTTATGTGGGGGCTCACAGTTTCAGAGGGTATGCTCATGACCATCACAGTGAGGAGCATGGCAGCAGGCAAACATACACGGTGCCAGTAGCTCAGAGCTTCCATCCTTAGCCACACACGTTTACCACTCTAGAGGTGGTAGGACATGGGAGAATGAAGCCTAAAAATGAGGTGGACTATAAAGTCTCATGGAATAGCCTTCTTGATTCAGAGCAACAGACAATTTATACTCCGAGGGTTAAGAAGAGTCACCTGAGTGAAGTGTACAATGACAAGGACAAGCATGTCACACGTGGCAAAAACATGGTTTTTCCATAAAGACATATAAACATTTAATTTTGTTAACTGAATAACAGCAGCAAGCAACAAGGAGTAATCTAATGTAAACACACTCCTATCTGCTACACCTGGGAGGAGCATGAGAACACATTCCAAGAAAAACTCTGTTTTGCAGAAACTGAGGTCACAAGACTCCTGTTTCCTTGGAGTTTTCTCACAAGCACTCAGAATTCTCCTTACACAACTCCACTCCTGGACTGTATTCCAACATACACACACATACACACATACACACACACACACACACACACACACACACACACACACACACACACACACACACACAAATAGTGGGTAGGGAAAACTAACTGAGAATGGCATGGATTTTTGAAATCCCAAACCTGCCTCCAGAGACACACCTCCTCTGACAAGGCCACCTCCTAATCCTTCCTAAACAGTTCCACTAACTGGGAAGCAAGCATTCAAATATTTGAGCCCATTGGGGCCATTCTCATTCAAATCAACACATTCCAGTCCCTGAGCCCTATAGACTTATGGCTATATCATAATGCAAAATGCAGTTAGTCAAACTTCAAAAGTTCCCACAGTCTTTTAGTCTTAACAGTTTAAAAATACAAAGTCTCTTCTGAGACTCAAGACAATCTCTTAATTTTAACCTCCTATAAAATAAAAAAGCAAATTACAGACTTCCAACATACAATGGCACAGAATATACTTTACCATTCCAAAAGGGAGAAGTGGAGGCATGGTAGGAAATGCTGGACAAAGAAATACTGAAACCCAGCAGGGCAAACTCCAAGTCCTATAACTCCATATCTAATGTCATAGATCTTAACTGTCTCTGCCTTTCCAATTTTATTGATTGCAACATACTTCTAGTCTCTTGGGCTGGTTCCAAATCCTGTTTGCAGCTCTCCTTGGCAGGTATCCCACACTCTTGGCATCTCCAACATCACAGGGTCTCCAAAGACATGAAGGCTTCACTTTCACAGCTTCATGCAAAGGTCTCTCTGGGAATTCTCTTGCCACATGTCTGACCTCAGCTGCTTTGCTTAACCACAGGCAATCCTTCTGGTCCTGTATCCTTCGTGACTCTAATGTCATAACCATGTGGCCGATGCCACTGAATTCAGCTGCCTGCTTGGGATGGAACCTGATCTTCTTCCGGAATTACATTTGCATGAGCTTTCCTTTGGAAGCTTAGCTGGGTGGGATCCTGCCCTGAGGGTACCTCTCTCTTTACTCCATTTCACACCATGCCTCTCCTTACCTCTTTCAGCACAAGCCTTGACTCCAACATTAAATTTCCTGTTATTCTTTTTCTCCTCAAACTGTACATTCTGTATTTCTTTTTGCCCTACTTACTCTTTTTCATTGTAGATCTGCATAAAAGTGATTACTAATAACCCAGTGACAGAGTCAATATTAGATCAGCTTGGAATCTCTACTGCCAACAAAATTAGTTCAAAATTTTTCAGTGTTGCCTGAGGCAAGTTTTTAGGACAAGGGCAGAAAGCAACCACATTCTTTGACAAAATATCACAAGGGAGATCTCTAGCCAGTTGATAATAACATCCCCGCTCTGAAAACTGCTGAGCTGGGTCTCCACAGTCCAGTCGCTCTAGCACTATTGTCTTCCAAGCTCCTCCTAGGACGGCCTATTAAGCTCCACTTAGAGCATTCAATCATTTCCTAGTCTAAAGTCCCAAACTCTTCCACATTCCTCCAAAAACTAGCACCAGCATGGTGAGGCCCTGTCACAGCAACAGCCCTCTCCCTGGTGCCAACTCCTGTCATTGTTACTTTTCAGCGCTGGATGAGATACCGTGGCCACTTATAGAAGAAAGAGGTTATTGAGGGGCTTACAGTTTCCTGGGGTGTGTCCATGGCCATCATGGTAGGGAGCACGGCAGTGGCAGGCAGGCACGGTGCTAGAGCAGCAGCTCAGGGCTTCCATCCTTATTTGCAAGTAGAAGGCAGAGAGAGAGATCATTGGGAATGACACAGGGTTTTTACCAACTCAAAGCCTACCCTCAGCAATACACTTTTCCAACAAAGTCAGGCCTCCTAATTCTTCCCAAACATTTCCACCAACTAGGGATTAAGTATTCCAGTATATGAGCCCATGAGGGTTGTTCTTATTCAGTCCACCACAGAGAAGATGCTGAAGCCCAACATCAGCTCATTATTTATGAGCTCTGGTGATGCAAAGCTGTATTTCTTTAGCCCCATACTCAGCACAGCCACTGGGCTCTTGGAATCGACAGACCTCGCATTCTCTTTCTGAAGGATGTCTGACATTGGAGTCTGGATGTCTTCTCAGACCTGTTATCACATTATATATTGACAGTGATTGTTCTGAAACAGACAGCATCATTCCCATTTTACAAATGAGAGAAACCACAAAGGGATTTACAAGGCGAGGCCAAATGTATTCTACTTACTTCAATACAGCTGCCAAATATTGTCCTTGGTATAAAAATGAGGAAGAGGCTAACCCTTGCTTCCTCCCTTAAAGTGATACTCTGCAAAGATGGAGACACAGGAAGTGTGACCACTCTAAAGACGAGATTGTTACACAGGAAGTGTGACCACTCTAAAGACGAGATTGTTACACAGGAAGTGTGACCACTCTAAAGACGAGATTGTTCTAACGCGTTTCTCTAGAAACCAGGTTTTCTCAGAGCCCTGAGCTACACAAACCCAACTGCAAAGATAAAGCATAGAAACATTGCTAAATGGAATGGCATCAACTTGCACTAAAATAAACTGGACACAGATCACCAAGTAAAGCAGCACAGCTTTAAAAGAATGATGGGGCCTGGTGGATGGTTCAGTGGCTAAGGGTACTTGCTGCACAAGCATGGGGGTCTGAGTTTTGATCCCAGCACCCATGTAAAAAGCCAGACATGGCTGCCTATGTGTCATTCTGATACTGGAGATGCAGGGAGACAGGATAATTGCTAAAGTGTGCTGGCTGCCAGGCTAGGACCAAGTTCAGTGAGAAGCCCTGTCTCAAGAGAGTTAGGCAAATAGTGATAGAGGACACTCAGTGTTGTCCTCGGCCTCCACGTTTGATAAGTCATGCATACTTACATATGCACATGTGCACACACCACATACACACAAAGAAAGAGGGGGAAGGGGGAGAAGGAAGAAAGGAAAGAAGAAAGAGAAAGGAAAGCGGGGAGGGAGGAAGGGAGGGAGGGAGGGAGGGAGGGAGGGAGGTAAGGGGAAGACAAGGTTGTCCTCACTTGCACTAGGTATTGTTCTACTGAGGAACCATATGTGACATATATAAGATATGCAAGCATGCATACCTCTAATGTTTTACACCTATAGCATACCCATTTACATATATGCAGAGTCCAATGGACACAAGTGACCTAAATACAGTTTTCTATTTGTCTTTACTTTGATGTAGGTAACTACTGTGATAGAAGAGGAAAGTGGGTACTTTGGATATCCTACCTTCCTTCCTCCATGGAAGACAAGAGTAAAGAAGATTGGAAAGGGGAAATGGGGTGAAGACTGGGCAGCATTTCATGGCCGACTCTCTGAGTCCCAGAGTCTCGTTTCCTCTGCGATTCCCAGGACATCTGCTTTCAAGGCTTCTTTTTCAGTGTGACTAGCAGAGTTACGAGCTGCTTACAGGAGCGTAGGGGAGAAGTTATGTATTAGAGCATGGGAAACATATCAGTGGCTACGCCACTAAAGAAAACAACACACCTTCCCACAGCAACCTTTCCCTGACCACAGGCCCTCAGGGAGGAGGGAATGAAAGGCATCTGCAGTCAAACCTTGATTGACAGCTACAGTGAGCTCACGAGCTCAATAGCCATGTCGTTTCCAGAAGCTGGCTTTGACTGCACATATCCCCATGCTATTACCTGCTCTTCCACTCAAATGTTCCCTGAGGGTTTTATTGGGGGGGGGGGGCATGATACGGAAGTCCCATTTAGGGCAGTAGCTTTCACATTTCTAAAGACCTGACTCCTCAGCTTCCTGTGGTTGGTCTCTCAGAGAAGCAGCCACTTCACTGGCTCTGCCTGTGTATCCAACAGGCAAGGAAAACTTGAGGGAAGCTCAGAGCTCTAGGACACGCCTTCCTACTTTGCTTCAATCACCCTGCGTTGTCTAATACACCACAGCCTTTCCTAAGCATGAGCCCCATGGTCCAGCTCACATTCAGAGGTCCATCCAAAGAATATAAAACACTAGCTCTGTCTATAGAAAAAGACTGAACAAATAGATTATTACTAGTGAACTGCATTTTATTTTGATGCTATGGGTTTGTGTGGAGTGTGTGTGTGTGTGTGTGTGTGTGTGTGTGTGTGTGTACACACTCGTGCATGTGGTTCCCTCAGAGTTCCCTCAGAAGAGTGCTTGATCCCCTGGGGCTGGAGTTACAAGCAATTGTGAGCTCCCCAACACAGATGCTGGGAACCTAATGTGGGCCCACTGGAGGAGCAGTATTTGCTTTTAACCACGGAGCCATACCTCCAGTGCCAGTGTCTCCAAGTGCTGAGATTACAGGTATGCACCACCGCATCTTTAATACAGAGATTATCAAACAGAATGAAGGGAAGCGAAGGACATTGAAAAACGTTGATGACCTTGAAGAAGTCCGAAAGTACGTGGCTCACAGGAAGCCCCTACTCATGATTTCACTTGTAGTCTACCCTGAGATTGGAGCCATCAGAAGCTCATCTGGTAGCCACAGCAAACATCACTTCCATTGTATGTCTGCATGGCTACTCATTTGCCACAACCAGAGAACAATAAATCATTCCACTTCTCCGTTTTCTGAGTCTGCATGAGAACCTAACCAGAGCCCCCAGGAGGCCTGGGAAATGGACTTTTAGCCTCTTGGCCCTTATAAAATTAGAAAAGACTTAGATCAACAGCTAATATCTAACATAAAGAGATGTTATTATATTCATCATATTATTAAAAGAACTGATGAACTTATATTTAAGAATTAAATAACTAGCAGGAAGGTGGTGGCACATGCCTTTAATCCCAGCACTCGGGAGGCAGAGCCAGGTGGAGCTCTGTGAGTTTGAGGCAAACCTGGTCCACAAAGTGAGATCCAGGACAGGCACCAAAGCTACACAGAGAAACCCTGTCTTGAGCACTGGCTGCTTTTCCAGAGGACCCAGGTTCAATTCCCAGCTCCCACATCAGGTAGTTTACAAGTGCTTGTAACTCTAGCTCCAGGGGACAGTCCTAAGCTCGGGCACATGCACATATACAGATATACACACATGTTTATGTAAATAAATAATAATAAAAATATTTTTAAAGAAGAATTAAATAACTTTTTTCCAGATTCCTTCTACTAATTAGCAGTAGGAATAATGACAGTCTATTTTTGCTAGTATAATAGAATATATAACTTATAAATCACAGAAATTTATTTCTCATAGCCCTAGACGTTGAGAAGTTACAAGAGCAAGATTCTGACAAGTTTGGTACCTGATAAGGGTGTAGTCTCTGCTTCAAGATGGTGCCTTGACCACTGTGACCTCCAGAGAGGATGAGTGGTGTTTCTCATATGGCAGAAGAATGCAAGCGGTAGCCCACTCCCAGAAGCCCTTGGTAGAGCAGCGTGATTCTATTCACAGGGCCAGAGCTGTGACAACACCTCCCAGTTGGCCCCACTTCCCAACTCTGGTGCATTGGAGATGACATTTCAACATGAGTTCTGAAGGAGACAAAAAATGTTCAAACCATATGAACTAGAATATGAATAAGCCTGGACCACTCAGCCTCTAAAAACCAAGAAAGTGAATGGCATTTTGATTGATGTGGAGGCACAAACTTGCCCATCTAGATCCAGAGGGGACTTTTCTGTGCTTATATTGCTGGCTCATTTGCCATCTCTGCCAGCATGAGGGAAGTAATTAAGACATGTTCCTCATCAATCATGCTAGCGTCTGGTAGATGTTTGTTCTTAGTAAATAGGAAGCGTCTGAAGGAAATATTAAATCCTGAAAAACATCCAAAGGTAGGGAGCTGGGGAGACAGCTCAGTCAGTAAAATGCTTGCCACGCGAGCATGAGGATGTAAGTTCAATTCCCAACACCCATGTAAAAAGCTAGGCAAGGTGGCACACTGGAGAAGTGGGGACAGGCAGATCACTGAGATTTGCCTGTGCACTTTCACACACATGCCCATGTACACTCACCCGCATAGTTACCTGCCTCTACACATTCACATATGTAGACATTGCTTTTCAAATGTAACAGAGGGAATGTGCGTTAAAACCACAAGGAGTTACTTTTCCCTGTTCATGAGATTAGTATATATGAAGATTTAGGGAGGAGTCACTCCCATGCTCAGGCACTGCAGGTGCACAGAGGAATTGGTAAACTACATTGGAAAGCAACTTGACACTCCCTCTTCTTAAACGTGTTCACAGTCTGTGCATAAGGCTGGTAAGAATGTGTCCTATAGAAATTCTTGTTCTACTTCATAACATGAGACACTCATAGAAATGCATGGCACGGTGAATCCATAGCAGTTTAAAATAGAAAGTAAATCTAACAGCCATTAATCCAGACAAACAAATAAATTAGAGTATATTCACACCATAGAATTGTATTTCAGGATTCAGCAAGTTATGGCATAGAGGCCAAATCCAATCTACTGTCCATTTTATAAATAAAGTTTTATGGGAGCACAGTACTGTTTACCCTTTTCTGAGCTGCCCCTGATGAACTTGGGGCTGCAGAAATGGCTTAGTGGTTAAGATCAAATACTGCTCTTTCAAAGTTCAGTTCCTAGGACTCCTGTGGGCCAGCACACAATCACCTGTGACTCCAGCTCCGGGGAGTCTGATGACCTCTTATGGCCTCCATGGGCACTGCACACATGTGTACATAACTGCACATAGATAGACATATATACATATAATTAAAAATAAAAATAAAACTTTAAAAAAGTAACATAATCATTTAAGCCTGGAGGACAAAGGTCACTATTGTCGTTCCAGTACATCCACACACAAAAAAAGGGTGAAAACCAGGCAAAACTAAATACCATTCTGTTTAGAATGCATATTTTCAGAACCGTAAAGAAAACCAATGGAAATACTAACTGAATATGGAGATAACTCAGTTAATTTAAGCGCCATGGGATGGAATGGATACATGGAAGGCTCAAACAAGAGTTTGGTGAGTTTAGTAATTATTTGTTTCTAAGTGGAACAGTGAGTTCAAGTGTGTCTGTTTTGCAGTTTTCCTTCACACTGTATTTATATTCACGCTGTTAATGTTCTAGAGATCTCCGCTCTCTGCCTTTTCTCAGTTCTACCCAGACAGAGTTTGGAGCTGGAGGTGGAAGATTGCAGCCTCTCCACCCTGCTTTGGCTTTCCAACACAGTGTGCTCTGAAACAACAACAAGCCTATCGGGCATGGCAACTCCATCCCTGTATTTCCCCCTGACGATCTCTCACTTGCCAGGCACTTAATGTAAAAGAACTGGAGCCTAAACACTCAGTCCTGCCACTCACTAGCTCCATGATTGTGGGAACATCATAGGACCTCTGTGTCTCCAAGAAATTATTACATACACCATTGATTTTTATGAAGGTGCAATGTGTGGTGCATGGAAAACTTAGAAGAGAATCAAGCATTCAGGGGCTGCATATTTAATTGTCATATGTCACTGATATTGGGCTTCATCTTGTCAAAACCATTGATCACCCTTCTGTCTTATTCAGTCTTACATCTCACTCATTAGTTTGTACTTGGTTCTAGTTTCAGCACACTGTGGCATGAAGGTCAAATCCAATTCACTGTCTGCCTTGTGAATAAAGTTTTGTTACAACACAATCATGTTCATTCCTTTCCAGATTGCCTGTGATTGTTGCCATAGCAGCAGAACTGAGGAACTGAGTCAGACTCACCACAAAGTCTATATGGCACTTTACAGAAGATGTTGCTGACTTCTGAAGACTGTTACTGAGTTCTGTTTGGTTCTGGTCTCACCCCTGCCCGTGGCCCTTCCTACTGCAGGCACAATTCTAGATACCTGTCAGCCAGCCTTGGGTATAACGACTATTCTAGTTTCACTTTGTCCCTCTGCTCCTGACTGTGAATGTGATGTGACTAAGCTGTAGGGAAGTCAAGGCAGGAACTTCAAACAAGTAGTCACGTCACATTCAAAGTCAACAGCAGACGGAAATGGTTGCATTCATGCTCACTTGTTTGTTTGCTGTGTTCAGCTAGATTTCCCCACTGTTACACAGTTCAGGAACCCCTGCCTAAGCAATGGTACTGCCCACAGTGGGCTAAGCCTTCCTACATCAAGTAACTTTCTTAACTGTTCCTCAGAGATGTACCCACAGGCTAACTCAATATATATAATCCTTCATTGAGACTCTCTTCTCAGGTAATCCTAAATTATGCCAGTCTGACCATTAAAGCTAACCATGACAGTGACTAATGAAGTCAATATAATCTTAGGCCCTTGAACTAGAAGGAGCACAGACTCAGTGCATTGTACATTGGCCTGTTGGTATGATGAATGAAACAGTAGGTCCATGCAGTGTTCAGAATGACTGAACAATGCATATGACAGGAAGCAGATTCTGACTGTCTTGCAATCAAACTTCCTCACAGAAGACAGGGGAATACTTTCTCCTGGAATAGAGTGTATAAAAGTATCATGAACGTACCATTTGTGTATATATGAAATTCATGTAGAAACCATATTTCCAGCACTCTCTGGCTGTAACATTTTTTTGAATATTAAATGTCACCTGCACCCTATCAGAAAAGCAAGGCAATAATTGTGATATCATGGTCTTCTTGCAAATGAGTCTTAAACTGAATGGTGCTGATGTGAAAAGAATAAAAAAAGCATGCTTCTCCTGTCTCATCCCTACCCTGGTATTCATCCTCACCAACTCCCCCACCGGAGATACCCCATCTACTTCACATCACTGAAAAAGAGGTCCTCAAAGAAAGGGGACACACAAAGACTGGGACTCAAAAAAAGAAACTAGAAAGGGTGCAGAGACAAGGAGTTTTGGCAAAGCACTCACCCTGAGAAAAGGAAACGTAAGAACCCTTGTTTTTGTGTGCTATTTTGGTCACATGTGATTAATAACCTGTCACACATAGCCAAATAGCATACAAAATCAAGCCATGGCATCTCTCTGCACCAGGCAGGGCACATCTCTCTCTCTCTGAAAGGTGCCAGGGGGCACTGTATACATGTAGAGAACACATTCCTGCCACTCTGCCTCCCTTCATCCTGAAATTCTGCTGCAATTCTTCTCCCTTCACACTCTCCCACTGTGTGTGTGTGTGTGTGTGTGTGTGTGTGTGTGTGTGTTCTCATTTCATTCAGCGACCTGCTGGAAAGGCTGTTATACTGCCCACGTAGCCACAGAAACAGATCTGGAAAGTGTTGGATGAGGAGGAGGTGTGATGAAAGGATAGGGCAATTAAATTGGGTAACTTAGAAAAGAATGAGATAATGAACATATCACCATGGAAACCTGCTGTGGGATGTTCTGTATGGCAAATGTGTTGCTGATTAGTCAATAAATAGAACACTGATTGGCCATTGGCTAGGCAGGAAGTGTAGGCGGGGCAAGGAGCAGAATAAAGCTGGGAAGTGGAAGGCTGAGTCAGAGAGACACTGCTAGCCACCACGATGAGAAACAGCATGTGAAGATGCCGGTAAGCCACGAGCCATGTGGCAAGGTATAGATTTATGGAAATGGATTAATTTAAGCTGTAAGAACAGTTAGCAAGAAGCCTGCCACGGCCATACAGTTTGAAACCAATATAAGTCTCTGTGTTTACTTGGTCGGGTTTGAGAGGCTGTGGGACTGGCAGGTGAGAGAGATTTGTTCTGACTGTGGGCCAGGCAGGAAAACTCTACCTACAAATGGCGTCCAACGTGGGGCAAGAGTTTCCACCTAAAAACTAAGAAAAAAGATTCTAAAACGGAGCTAAAAACAGCTTCCTAATTGTCTCTCTCAAATGAGCGGCAGCTGCTGGTTTGAGCTACTTGTGGGTTTTTGGTGTGTGCACTCGACCTGCCACTGTATGGCGGGAATGAGGCCTCTGCAAGTGGCACATTAAGCTGCGTGGTGGATTTAGACTTTGCTAGTATAAAACAAAAAAAGAGGTTTCTGGGCTACACGCTGCTTGGATAAAAGCATAGACCCATGATAGTTCCCAGAGCTGGTGGAAAACGTAGCCATGTTGGGAAGCTGAGGTGGGCGGAGCCAGCAGCTACAGCTGCTGCAGTTTAAGGCAATAGATTCACAATAAGACAGATTCAGATGTAATAGTTTACAATGTGTGTAAAATATACTAGGCTTGAAAGAGACAAAAAAGGTGATATATACAGTTATAGAAACAAATACATAGTTTTAAAAAATAAAGTCTTTAAAGAGACAGTAAAATTAATATAAAAAATAAGCCACGTGAAGATGAATATTACACAGAGAATCTGGATTGTGTTGTCTTTGGGATTTTTAACTGCAGAAAAACATTTGATTGTAAAAGCTGTTGAGTTATGCCAAAATGTATATTTTAAAGGTACCTTGACTTCAAAATTTGGATGTAAGGATATGTTACTTTGGAAAGGAGACTCTGCTTTTGTTCCCACAGAAAGCCAGAGGCTATGGATTTGTTCAAGATTAAGATACATCAGGTTTGACCAGCCAAGACCCCCTGAAA